TACAGTATTGTTCAAGATTTTAAAAATATTCTGTTTTGCTTACATAGTAGTTGCATAATGGCAGGGTCGGTGCAAGTGTCTCATACCCCAACTAACCAATGAGGCCTCCGACTCTATCTCAATTTTCATAAGGTACTATTCATATAAAATACAAAATTTATTGTAAACTAATTATGTATATTAATGGATAATATTTGATATAGGTAAACAATTCAATTAGAAAAATCAAAAATACAGTGTATCTAAATAGAAATTAGAGACCTGTCATAATAGATCATTCGATCATAAATAAACCAACAATGTTTTGTGGCAACTTTTAGCATCAACTTGAGATTTTTCTTGGTAAAAAAGTTGAATACTTTAACACATTCAACATTATGGATAAAAAGTAGTGAATTTTACATGGTGTTTTTTTGAGACTTAGCATGAATAAAATTCATAAAATGTGGCTGAAAAATATTGGCCCCAGAATGACGTCAAAATCTGAAAAAACTTTTCATCCTTTAATAGTCAGTTGTGCTTAGGTTAATTTGTAATGTATATAAATCTAGGTAGAAAAAAAGCAGATGTTAATAAAATAGTGTAGGTAACAAAGTACTTCCCAGGAACCGCAACCAGTACCCCCAGGTCAGTGTAGTATGCACCAGCTTTGCATAATAGTATATTCTCCACAGGAAGACTTATCCTTTTTTTTTTTTTAATCGAAATATTCACAATATAGTGATTTACTAAGTGTAGCTTAGATGTGATATAAGGCCAACAAAATGGTCACAACAGAAGGGGAGGCCTCAGTGTAAATCTTTAAATTGATGCCAAGAGAATAAAGAAAAAGACTGAATCTACAGAATGCTTCTTTAAATTAAAGTGTCTTTAAGTGGAGTCCTTCTCACCAATTTCTTGAAATCTGCTCAGTTTCATATCCAAATCTAAACAAAGCAATTTCTAAAGAAGTAATGGATTTTTTATTTATTAATCTGACATATTTTTATCACTTAATCATTAAATTAGAGTAAACACTGTTTTTATATCTTTAGAAAGCGTATTTATTATTGTCGACCAGCCTGAATAGTTGAGAAATCTTATTAAGAAAAATATATTATTAAGAATATATATAAAATATATCAAGAAAAATATATTAATTAAACATATGCTGGAGGGTGCATATTTTTCTTTAAAGTGTGAACTTCAATAAAAATAGGTTTATTTAATACAATGAGTTAAATTTAAAAAGTTTATTTCAATTTAATATTTTATTGTTTTAGTTTGTTGTCTTTGAATACAAATAGAAAAGATTTTATTAAACTCTAATTAATATTGTGAAAGTTATCCAATACTTTTTCAAACATGAAGTCCAAAGTGGAATGCAGTAACGTATATGTTGACATAAATTTGCATTTTCTTTTTTTTATTTGAAGAAAACTGAACATAAAATAAAGTTTATTATAAATTTTGTTCTTGTGAAATGTTTGTAAATTTGTCTGCTTATAATCGTCATAGGATTACTGCACCTTGTCTACCAGATGTTTAACACACACTGGACTGTATTGTATGAAGTAGTATAAAAGGAAACGGCACCTCGTTCTCTCTACTTTCTCTATTTCCCCACTAGATGTCATTGCAGCAGATGTTAAACCTTTTTGCCACACACATATGCATGAAAAACCCTATCAGTAGAAGTAATACATTTTCAGCTTTTAGGCACATGTAAAAAGAAAGAAAAATCTAGGAGCATGCATGCTGTGAACTGTAAGAGGCTAGTTCTTTCACCGTGGCAAAGAATGCTAAGATTATCACTTTTAGCCATGTGTATCTATTGCAACCCTCACCCACATACATTCCACTGACCGGCCAGAGATCACCCACACATTGCATTTCAATCCTTGATCTTGTTGGTGTTCACCAGAAGTTGGGAAAGAGCACAATGCATGCTCACAAGATAATACAAAGAAAGAAAAAATTTTCCAAGGAATATATATGTATATTAAGTAGTTTCACAGTACTTGACTGATGGAAGCAACATTTTTGTGCCACCACCAGAGTAATAAGGAATCATTTTACTCATATTACAAGCAACTTTGATTAAAGTCTTGAACTCTTACCTTCCATAGAGGAGTACTTAAACTAGTATAGTTTTTGATTGATTTCTGTTTGTCTTTTTTAAGTTTGTGGGTTATTTAAATCCAAAACACATTTTGGATTCTAAAATTTATTTAAATGTATATAGCATTACTATTGTCATAAAGAAATTCTTACCATCAAAAAAGGTCATAACCTTTATATGGATAATCATGAGTATTGTCATTATTTTATTTTTTCAAAACATCATAATTTAACTCGTTTATAACATTTGATTTTGAACAGAACCCAAAAATATAGAGCATCCTGTTAGATTTTAGGGTGAGAATGTTTCTATATTAAACTTCCTTATGACAAGAAGTGAATAAAAAAATCTCCAATTGCTGTATGTATGTGATAATGTATGTCTTAAATGCGGATCTGAGATAAGTTCCTTTAGTATAACATCACATGTACTTTTTCACAAAGATATGGTTTCTCCTCAGTGTGTGTGTGTGTTTGTAATTGAGCTATAGGAAAAATGATTAGATACCTCACAACAATAAGGTTTTTCTCCAGTAGTCACATGTGATTTTCCTAAGTTGGGTTCACATAGGTTTAATGTGAATTATTTAGAAAAGCAACATTTCTGATTTCGCACCTTTTAAAAAGTGGAACATTCAGTCTAAAATGGAAATTCACAATAATTATAGTTTTTTTCTCTATTTAATACTCATACATGCATTGTTCAAAAACAATTAGAAAATTTAGGACATCAGAAAGAAATTCAAGGATTTCACATTTTTATGTTTTCTTTCCAGTTTTGTCTGCAAATATTCTTTTAAAGAAACAACATTTCCACATAGAATACAAGAACATTTCAGGTTTGTGAGTTTGACAAGTAATATTACAACATTGTAGAGGTCTTATGACTGTTAGAAATTAAGTCAAAATTTTCCAATTGCTGGTGACCATTTTGGTTTTATCAATAAATACATATATTTCATTTATAAATGTTCTTATAAAATGACATTGGAGGCATGGTGGAGTAATTGATTGTGGCTCGGATTGAGAAATTGGAGGGCCAAGTTCGAATTCTAGTCAAGTTCATTGCATTCACATACACACAAATAACTTTGAGAAAGGAATGAATCCATCTCTCCCCACCAGATATCAATAAAATAGGACAGAATGGGTTCTATAGCTTTGGGTGGTAATCAGTCTAGGAGTAGGAAAAATTCTGAATTCAAAAACCAACTATATGTAGGGCAGTCTGGGCTCTAGCAATGGTTGGTGACCAGACTAAGAATAGGACAACTCTGAATTCAAGTCCAAAGTCCCTAAGAGAGTTCAATGTCATGTTTTGTTTTGATAACACCTGCAACAATCAGTCAGTTATGTGCCATGTGTGATGCATGCTTGGGTGATCATGTATCTTTTGATACATGACTGACCAGGCAGATTTTTTTCCCGCAATAGGTTGTCAGTCTTTTCTGCAGTATACCAGTTGCTATCCAAGGCTATAGAACCTGGTCTGTCCTGCTATTTACCCATAACTGGGGGGAGAAGAGGATTCATACCTTTTCCAAAGCATGTAAGTGAATGTGATGGATTTGACTGGAATTTGAACTTGGCTCTCCAATTCCTCAATCTGAGCCACTATCCATTACTCCAGTGTGCTTGTAATGCTGCAAAGCTATATTGGTCTGTACTTTTCCCTTGGACAACATCAGTAGTATGGAGAGGAGAGACATGCTGCATGGGCAAATGCTGATTGCTCATAAAAAGACCCAGACCAGATCTGTGATCTTTGGGTGCAAATCTAGGGTCTCTTGAGAATGTTGAATGCCAATAATGACATTCTACCTTGAAAAAAATAAGTAAATTAAAATCTGGCAAATTATAGCTTGCTGAAACAGTTAATACATATTGCATGCAGAATTCTGGTGCATGAGTTATCTTGTATTAATTCTGCAAGTTGTAGAAAATTGAGTTCCTCACCTCTAGCGAAAAGGAAAAAGAATTTTATGATTCATATATCATATACTCTTAATTTGTAAAAGAAAAATACAGCCACATCAAAAGCCAAGTAGAAAAACAGATCTAGTTAGATATTAAAATACATATTCACAAAAAATTACATCATAATACTATCTGTGAATGTCCTTTGCTTGCTGCAGACCTTCCCCAGATCTCACCATTTTTTGCCATTCATGGAGAGGAATGTCATTATCCTACTGTACTTGCCCAATGCATGTTGGTAGATGCAGTTGTGACATGCCTGGGCAATTGAGTCTGTTTTAAAATTCATGGTTGACTTGGCAGAAAAATTTCTAGAGTAGACTGCTATTACTTCATGCAGTACACTGGTTATCAGCCAATGCTGTAAGACTCAATCAATTATCAACCAATGCTATAAGACTCAATCAATTATCAACCAATGCTATAAGACTCAATCAAACTGCTATTTATTTCTTTGTAAGTGAATGAAATGAACTTGGCTGGAATTCTCACTTGGATATTGGATTTGTCATTCCAATCCCCTATCACACTACCTGCATATACAAGGTTACAACACTTGATATTCCAAAGCATTCACCCATCTAAGTACTGACCAAGCCCAACTTTGCTCAACTTCAGTAATTGGACAGATGAGAATAGGTGTTTCAATATGATATAGTTTTTTAATTCATGATTAACTGAGTAGAAGAATTCCTGCAATAGGTTGCCGTTACTTCCTGTGATAGACTGGTTGCCAACCAAGACTATGAGACCCAATCTGTCCTGCTATTTAACCAATAGCTAAGGGGAGAAGAGATAGATTCATACCTTTCCTACAAGTATTTGTTTTAAGTGAAGAAAATGGACATGACTGGAATTGTAACTCGTCAGCAGTTTTCTCATTCCAAACTATTATCCATCACACCACCTGCACATCCAAGGTAACAACACCTGATATTCACAAGTGGATACCCATCCAGGTACTGATCAAGTTCAACATTGCTTAACTTCAGTGATTGGAGAGATGAGAACTGGTATTTTGATATGATATGGCCATAAGTCCATCATAATATTAACTTGTATGAATTTGCATATGTTTCTTCAGATATGCATCCTTCGAAAATACAGATGCACAAACCTGGCAAGAATAGGGTTTCTCATCAGTATGTACTCGCATATGTTTTCGCAAATTTCCACTTTCTGAAAATGGAGCACCACAAACTTTACAAGTATGTGGTTTCTCTCTAGTATGTGTTCGCATATGTCGCTTCAAATTTGAGCTTTGAGAAAATGATGATTCACAAGCCTCACAAGAATATGGTTTTTCTCCAGTATGTGATCTCATGTGTACTTTTAAAGTAAAACTTTCTGAAAATGAAGCACCACAAACTTCACAAGGATATGGTTGTTCACCTGTATGTAAACGCATATGTTTCTTAAAATTGGAGCTATGCGAAAATGAAGCACCACAAACATCACAAGGATATGGTTGTTCCCCTGTATGTAAACGCATATGTTTCTTAAAATTGGAGCTATGTGAAAATGAGGATCCACATGCTTGACAACAATATGGTTTTTCTCCAGTATGTATTCTCATATGTGCTTTTAAAGAACCACTTACTGAAAATGCAACACCACAAACTTCACAGGGATATGGCTTATCACCAGTGTGGGTTCGCATATGTCGTTTTAAGTGGGAGCTATATGAAAATGAAGCTCCACATGCCTCACAAGAATATAGATTTTCTCCAGTATGTAATCTCATGTGTACTTTTAATGATTCACTTACAGAAAATGCAATACCACAAACTCCACAAGAATATGGTTTCTCTCCAGTGTGTGTTCGAATATGCCGCTTTAATTGACAGCTATGTGAAAATGATGTTCCACATACCTCACAAGAATATGGTTTTTCTCCAGTGTGTGATCTCATATGTACTATTAAAGCACCACTTGCAGAAAATGCAACACCACAAACTTTACAAGCATATGGCTTTTCTCCAGTGTGTATTCTCATATGCTGTTTTAAAGGGGAGCTATATGAAAATGTGGCTCTACATACCTCACAAGAATATTTTTTTTCTCCAGTGTGTGATCGCATGTGCATTTTTAAAGATCCACTGACTGAAAATGTAGCACTGCAAATTTTACAATCATAGAGTTTCTTTCCAGTGTGTATTTGCATGTGATGTTTTAATTGTGAGATATTTGAAAAAGATGATCCACACATCTCACAACAAAATGGTTTTTCTTCACGATGTGTAGCTTTATGTTTTTCCAAATTTCCACCATCAGAAAATGTAGCACAACACTCATCACATGGATAGGATTTCTCACCAGTGTGTGTTTGCATTTTTTTTGAATGTGAGAAGTGAAAAATCATATCTATAAAGAAAAAAAGATTATTTTCATCTATGTGGGAATGTACATCTTTTAAACTATAAATGCAGATTCAAGATGTTGTTTTTCTCTTTAGTGTGATATCACATGTACTTTTTCACAAAGATATGGTTTCTCATCAGCGTGTGTGTGTCAGTTTGAAATTGAGTTATGTTTTTTGTTGACAGGTTACATATATCTGGTTAAATGTAAATTACTTAGAAAAGCAACATTTCTGATTTCACTTGAAAATAGTTCCTCTCTGATGTGTGCTATAACATGGCTTTTAAAAGTTGAACCTGCAGTAAAAAAAATACAGATTGACAATATTAGAACAGGACTTTCCTGAATTATGTGCCCATACATGCATAATCAAAAACAATAATTAGAAAATTTAGAACCAGAATCATTGCAAAACAATAGCTTTTTTTTCAACATTTTTTTGAACATTCAAACTTAAGCAAATGTATACATCCATTTCACATTTGATTTCTTTCCACTTTGTCCGCAAATATTCTTTTAATGGAGAAACATTTCCATGGAGCAGACAAGAACATAGAATTTCACAAGTGTATGTTTTGAAAGTTAAACTGAGAAAAAGCAGTATATGCACACACTTTCAACAACTTACCCTCCTGTATGTATCTTTGAATTCCCTTTTAAGTCTGAATTATTTGAAAATACAGACCTACAACATTCCAGGTATATACATTTTTTTCCAGTGACTATGTCCAGTCATTTAATTTAGTATTTTCTACCAAGTCTTTTGGTATGAGAACAATGAAGTCACAGAAAACTCCATAATTGCCTTTTAACACCTGTGGATAAAAAAAAAGAAAATAGAATGAAAAAAAGCAAAAAAAACAAGACATGTATTTCAAAAATCAAAAAGGACAATACTTAAAGAATTTAATGAAAATATATTTAAGACTAGAAACTATATAAAACATTCATTTGCTTTAAATAAGGAAGATGGTTTTTGGTTTAAAAGATTTAATGCCACAGTAGTGCATCTTTGTCTATCAAAATATTTAAAGAGATTTGATTTGTTAAGGTTATCTGTTAAGTAATGTCCACCATTTTACAGTGTTTTAATTTATCAATTTAGAATCCAGTGAAAAAAAATCAAATAAATTGGAAAGAGCTTCAGTGGTGAAAAAAAAGATTGTAGACGCTAAAAGCAGAAACTACTTGAATGTGATGGTTTTTAAGTGTTTAATAGTTATCAAATCATTCCAAATGTCAAAAATATTTATATTCTCCTATTCTAAAATACCTAAATAATAATAATAGACATGATCAGGTAATCTCATAAAATCTGATAGCAACAGATTGAAAAGTATTTTCCATATTCTAAAATACCTAAATAATAATACAGGATATCAGGTCATTCTATAAGTAATATCCAAAATCTGATAGGGTTGTTGATTGAAAAAAAAATTATATGCCTTTTGGCAGGGTTCGAACATGTAGTTCGATTAACCTCTTTTTAAGAAATGGACATCTCTTGTCAGGACCAGCCAAAATCTTACATTTTCATTTTCATGTCTGAAATGCAAAGAAATTTCAAATTAATTAATTTTATTTATAATCCAATATTATATTTAATGGATACAAGGTTTTATATATTTTATATAAATATATAGGTAAGTTGGTACAATCTCTGATGTTGAGCTCTATTTCACATATATATTATTTTAACAGTTTATTATATTTATGTACGTTTTGAAAAGTTAATTCTGGAATACATTCTATCCGATGAAATGTTAATTATAAAGAATATAAAAAAACTCAAATGTATTTACTATTTTTTGGTCTCTAGTAACAAAATAACTTTGATATTTAAAGAAATAAAACTTTCACTAGGAAATAAATTTAGAAAGAAAACTATTTTATCTTCAAAATAGAAAACCTTATAGCTGATACATAATTGAAATATGGGTGCAATCAGAAAAAAAAAAGTTTTATATGGAAGACAAATGCAAAACATTTCAGTGGTTTACAGACATGAGAAATCATTAAACTATATTAATTAATTTAAAAAAAAAAAAATTCTTACTTAAATAATTTACTCCTAAGTGATACTGTGCATAGTCTTTCTCAGTTTCATCTTCTATAAAATTAAGTATTTTATAATTAAATTTAAGATTTGTCCCTCATAGTGCAATTACCTTAATTCCATGTATGAGTATATATATATATATATATATATATATATATATATATATATACACACACACCCTACCACCCAAAGATGCTAATAGGTCCATGTTCTGCATTCCCCAAAGTGAGATGCTGAGAGGTGTGTGTCCTGATGCACAGAAATCTTAAAGGATGAAGTAAGTTTCCCATCTGCATAATAAATAATAAACACCTCATTAATCATTTGATATTATTCTTGCAAGACTCTCCCAACAGATTGAGTCCTCCAGGTCACTGGCATGTTTATGAAAAAATAAATACGCAAAAATTCACCTTTCTCTCTGCCAAGCATCGATAGCATAGGGGTTAGAATCTCTGACTGATACCAAATCAGTCAGGTTTTGGTCCCGGCTTGAAACGACCCAATGTCTAGCCACACTGAAGAGCTGTGATACAGCAACACAGTGTGTCTGTGGATGACTATATATATATATATATCCCCACCCAAAGATGCTAATAGGTCCATGTTCTGCATTCCCCAAAGTGAGATGCTGAGAGGTGTGTGTCCTGATGCACAGAAATCTTAAAGGACAAGTAACTTTCCCATCTGCATAATAAATAATAAACGCCTCATTAAGCATTTGATATTATTCTTTCAAATACTTTTTACTATTTCTTTCACTTACTCTTTCCTTCTTTTACTGCGTGCAGGATGTGTGGGTGACATGAAACAGACATCAATGTTACCCCTACAAGACACTATCTTGGTCATTTTTTTCATTTTAATTTTTTGTATTTAAAAATAAACAAAAACTTGTTCTGTCAATTTTAAAAAAAAAACATTTTTCCTGTCATAAATCTCAAAAACTAAAGTTTTCTTAATTGAACTGTTATTGCATGTAAATATTGCATGTAAATACTGGTTTTGTTAATTTCTTATTTTAATTTAAAAATCAAAGTTGTTCTGTCAATTTAATAGATTTAGCATGATTCTAATTGTTTTTTGGGACGGCTGTAAGAAAACAAAAATGTAGTTTGTAGCCCTGCATTTCAGCACAAAAATTTATCAAGAAACTTAAGTTGGGATACACAGAATTTTCTAAAAGCAATATTTGTTTCAAATCAGATTAATTAAACTTTAAATCTGCTAATTTTCCTCAAATAAAGTTTCAGGAAAGTAGATTTTATTTTGGAAGATTTCAGTTTAAAATATTGCAGAAATTCATTTTTTTTTAACAGACGTAGATGTTTTGACTAATTGTTGACAAAATGATAACTGGAAGTTTATCCAATGTTTTTCTATGGGGAATATATCTGTAAAAATATATCTGTAAAAATTACTTGAGGAATATAAGAGTAGCACCATTTATATATAATTTATAACTACCCAGTTATCTTAAACAATTAGGAAAATATTCTTCATAATGTTTTACTGAATTTCAGGTACTTTGGTTTTAAATTTATTATAGTTACTGCTCTTATTTTCTGGTAATATGTATGGATGTCTGTATTTACCAAAAATTCGCAAGTTTATAC